GAATTTTAAATCAGTTTTAAAATGAGAACAAAGACAGAGCATGTTTACTACATTTCTTACTTTATTTTAAACCCCCGATTTTGAGATTTTTCTTTCAGTAAAATTGGAGCCTATCTGTAATGGCAGAAGAATCAGAAGTCTCAAGAATAATGAAGAGGACATGTGCTATTTGGCTGTTTGCATGAGGCTCCAGTCTGATCCCAGCTACATCCCAGGCTAGGATGGGTAAGCTGACGATCTCGCAAGGCAGGCCCAGGGCTAAGAACTGAACTAAGAATATTGTATCGTTCTCTTTAGTATCATTAATCAACTGGGGGAGATTGTATGGGAAATGCTACATGAAGTTGTTTTCAGTCCATGTAAGCCTTTCATTCTCCTGCTGGGTCCCAAGCACCCCACTAAGGCCACAGTCCCCTCAGGATGCCAAAGCTGGATGCTGAGATTTAGAAACTTGCAGGGGAATGCCTCACTCCCCGTATTGCCATACGTTGTTAGATGCCCATCACTGCTGCATGTGCTGAGGGGCTTACAGGCATTTTGATAACAGTTCATTCTGGTTGTACACTCCATGTCTAAGATGTAGACACATGTCCTTGGGCCAGGGTGAGGAAAAACGGAATAGACTGGCCAGGCACTAAGCTGAGTTTCCTGACCGTGAAGCCTTAGAACTGGGTCCACTCTGTTCCACCAATGCTCTTAGCTCAGAATGAGTTTCAGGGCACACCTAGGAGGCCCTGCCCTGGGCCTGCCTTGCGAGATCATCAGCTTACCCCTCCTAGCCTGGGATGTAGCTGGGATCAGACTGGAGCCTCATGCCTTTCTTATAAACGAAGGGAAGAAATAAGGCTTACATGGACTGAAAACAACTTCATGTAGCATTTCCCATACAATCTCCCCCAAACCATCAATAAGTATAATTAGCATTCACACGTTTTTAGACTCCAAAGAGATATAACTCCATTAATTTTCTTCCTTTGAAATGAGACAATATGTACCAAGCACCTAATATATGCCCAAACCCACTCAGCAATTTTCCTGATTAAATTGGCAAAAGTAGTGACAGATAAACAAGCTTAAAGAACCAAAATATAAAACAAAAACAGAACTCAAAGGAATAAATTCTAGCTTATGAAACCTTTCCTGCTTCTGTAGCTATTTCTGATGGTAATTTTTCAGAGCCAGCTTTTACATGCCCAATATGAGCATGTGGCAATACTTTATTCCTATCAGAACCACTAACAATCAACATAAATTATGGGAGTATAGGTTTTATAGAAAAAAATACATATATGAACATTCAAAGCTCAGCTGTCTATGTACAGTAGACTGCTGGTTTTGTTTAGCTTGATAAAAGCACATGGCACCCCCCCCCCACACACACACACACACACATACCAGCAGCTACTTCTCAACAGAGGTCTCACTTCTCACATAGGGATTTTAATCCAGGTGAGCTCTGTCTGTGCAGCAATCCAGTGGTTACAGACAACAGTGCCTCCTATTTCCTGAACAGAAAGCTTGCTCTTTGGGGAACTGCACCTTCTCTAAATGGTTTGGGAGAAATGAATGAAACCAAGTCGCTCATTGGAAACTTCCTATAACGGAAGTTTTGATCTCTTGCTGCTTAAATCCATAGTGCCACCCTCATTTCTGACTTACTGAATGCTTGGTTAACACCTTTGAGCTATCCAATGTCCTTTTTTTCTTGAAAGAACCAGTCTCCATTGTTTGTAACAAGAATCCTGATACTGTATACATACCTTATATTTTTTAATGGTTATTTGCAAAGAATGCTCATTATAAATGTTGCAGTGTCTTTAAAAAACGATTAAATCAATATTTCTCCAAGGATGTTATTTGCTTTTTGTTCCTTTTTTGGTCTACTATGTGTCAGGCTAAGTGCTGAGGGTATGTGTATAATGGACTGAGGAGTGGGCCAGGTGACTTAAAGGACCCTAACATATCCCCATATTAAATTACAAATACGTTGTCTGTGAACTTGTTTCCAGGTATGACAGTTTACATGCCACCCATCCCTTCTGAGAACTTGAGAAGGCCCTGAGGGAGCCTATCTGAGGTCTTCACAGTTTTCTTTAATTTGCTTTTACCTCAAGTAGCCCCATGGTAAGTTGAAAGAATAGGTACTTTCTGAAGAGGGCAAGCATGGTTTGCTCAAAAATCCTGGTTTAATACAGAATCCTGATCTGCCTCAAAACTGAGCCCATTCTATCTCCCTTCAGAAGGCCCTGCAGCCAGGAACAGAGGGAGGGGCCTTTCTTTTTCTTCGACCAGTTAAAGCTAGAAGCACGTGGACCACCCATAAATGGGCTTGAGTAGTGGACACAAAATTCAAAGAAGCCCAACAAACACTGAGGCTCTTCTTTAGTCATTGGTGGAACAAAGTATGCAATTTGGAGGGGACATTCCAACACACACCAGACACTGGACCTCCGCAAACTTGGCTGAGGCTCTTGTGCTTTCTTTGGATTAATCTACCCATTAGCTCAGGTCCTATGAGCACAGCATCACCAATGTGTTAGACCAGCTTGTGCACCATACAGTGGTAAGATGATCAAGGTCTGGTAACAAGGACTATACTCTGGGACAGTATCAGAGAGTTAATGAAACCTTGACAAAAGACAATATATAATGTTGCTTGTTGATAGCACAAACTGCTTCGGGGCCCTCTGCTTACTGGAGTAAAGGAGAAACAAACAAAAAAGCATTAGACAAATGAACATCTACCTACTGATTTGCTCCAAGAAATTGTCTCACAGCAGCTGTCATCCTTTTTTTTAATAGCTTTTATTTTATTTTTGTTTTTTATAAATATACATATTTTATTGATTTCAGAGAGGAAGAGAGAGGGAGAGATAGAAACATCAATGATAAGAGAGAATCACTGATTGCCTGCCTCCTGCACCTTCCCCCAACTGGGGATGGAGCCCTGACTGGGAATAGAACCGTGACCTGGTTCATAAGTTGATGCTCAACTACTGAAGCTCACCGGCTGGGCGCAGCTGTCATTCTTAAAGGTCCATCTGTCTTTTGCACATGCCAAAGATCATACCAATTCTAGATGTGGTAAGAATCACACCCTTGCTTATTGTAAAGCTTCTGATGGTGAAATTTATCCCTGTAAAGCGTATGGTACTTCCTGCCAGAATAGGCCTTTCTTATATATCAGGGATCCAGTATGGCAGCGGTTCTCAACCTGTGGGTCACGACCCCTTTGGGGGTTGAACAACCCTTTCACAGGGGTCGCCTAAGACCATCGGAAAACACATATATAATTACATATTGTTTTTGTGATTAATCACTATGCTTTAGTTATGTTCAATTTGTAACAATGAAAATACATCCTGCATATCAGATATTTACATTACGATTCATAACAGTAGCAAAAAATTACAGTTATGAAGTAGCAACGAAAATAATTTTATGGTTGGGGGTCATTACAACATGAGGAACTATATTAAAGGGTCGCGGAATTAGGAAGGTTGAGAACCACTGCACTATGGGATACTGCCATACATGATGAAGACATCAATTCTAACTCTTCACTGGAAAAATAGATGATGGATATATTCCTATAGCATGCACTTTGTCCCATAGATCAAAAAGGTTTCATAGACTCCAGAAATCTGTATTTGTTCAGACTGTGGCCAGATGATTTCCAAAAGGCCTAGTGATGTTCTTGCTGTTAACCTGAAAACGGAGCCGCAAGGGAAGATGCCGGAAGCACTTACATTACAGGGTTCTTCACCTTCGAGATCTTTCATTCATACCTGTGATTGGCAATTTGGTGAGGGCCTCGGAACTCAATCTTGGTGGTGGTAGTCAGGCTTTTCTGCTATTGTTATACATATCAAGTAGACCTATGTGGGTTGCCCACATATTTGGACCTACGCCATGCTGATATTCAGCTAATATACACTGGTTTGGCTGTTATCGGTTGTATACTGGCATCCATTTTTCTTGGTCAGCACATGAGCTGTCCTAATTGTTAAATTTTTCAACAAAATTTCAGGACATATGGGGTCCTATGATTTACTGCCTACCAGCAAAGATTTCTGTAAACTAAACTATTTTTTGAGTATAGTAGATCTTCTATTATTGTTTCCAATTTGTCTCCAGTTGTTAATAGCTGCAAAGCCTTGCTATTAAGCTCTATCGACCACAAGATTCTGACATCTCTATTGAAATAAGGAGCCCATTTTAACCTAGCATTTCCCACAAGCTCCCCGGCTCACAGAGAAGAGTCATTAAAATGCTTTTCATATCCTCAACAAATATTAGCATACCAAACTCAACAATACATTGAAAGGGTCATACACCATGATTAAATGAGACTTCTTCCTGGGATGCAAGGATTGTTCAATAGCAGCAAATCAACCAATATGACATACCACATTAACAAAATGAAGGATAAAAATCATGATTGTCTCAATAGATGCAGAAAAAGCATTTAACAAAATTCAACATCCAAATGTGATTTTAAAAAAACTCAACAAATTATGTACAGAGGGAACATAACATAATAAAAGGCATATATGACGAGCAGATAGCTAAAACCATACTCAATGATAAAAAAGCTGAAAGCTTTCCTCTAAGGTCAGAAACAAAACAAGGATGCCCACTCTTGCCACTTTTATTCAACACAGGATTTAAAGTTTTAGCCAGAACAATTAGGCAAGAAAAAAAGAAAACACATCCAAATTGGAAAGGAAGAAATAAAACTGCCTCTATTTGAGATGACATGATATTATATACAGAAAATTCTAAAGGCTACTAAAATACTGTCCGAACTAATAAACATATTCATTAAAGTTGTAAGATACAACATTAATATTCAAAGATCTATTGCCTTTCTATACACTAATAATAAACTATAAGAAAGAGAAATTTTAAAAAGTATCTCATTTATAATTACATCAAAAAGAATAAAATACCTAGGAATAAATTGACCTAAGGAGGTGAAACACCTGTACAATGAAAATTATAAGACACTGATGAAAGAAATTGAAGATACAAATAAATTTAAAGATATTACATGATCATCAAATGGAAGAATTAATATTGTTAAAATGTCCATAATACCCAAAGCAATTTACAGATTCAATGCAGTCCCTATCAAAATTCTAATAACATTTTTCACAGAAATAGAACAAACAATTCTATAATTTGTATAGAACCACAAAAGACCCCAAATAGCCAAAGCAATCTTGAGAAAGAATACAGCTGGAGGCATCACACACCCTGATTTCAAACTATATTACAAAGCTACAGCAATCAAAACAGTATGGCATAAAAACAGACATATATATATGAACTAGAGGCCCTGTGCACAGATTCGTGCATTGGTGGGGTCACTTGGCCTGGCCTGAGGGGATCGGGCTGCAACTGGCTCTCTGACATCCCCTGAGGGATCCCGGATTGCAAGAGGGTGGTTCTTGGGTGACGCACCCCGGGATCGGGCTACCTCCTCTCTGGTTACGGGTGTGTCACCCTAGAACCACAGCTGCCAAGTCATTGCAGCTCAGCAGCTCTTACATTGAGCATTTGCCCCCTGGTGGTCAGTGCATGTCATAGCTACTGGCTGGTTGGCTCGTCGCTTAGGCTTTTATATATATAGATGAAACAGAATAGATATTCAGAAATAAACCCATACATATATAGTCAATTAATTTATGATAAAGGAGCCAAAAATATACAATGAGGAAAGGGCAGTCTCTTCAGCAAATGGCATTGGATACACTGGACCACTGCACAAAAATTAACTCAAAATGGATTAAAGCATGAATGAAACACCTGAGACAATAAAACTCCTAGAAAAAAACATAGGCAGTAAACACCTTGACATTGATCTTGGTGACCATTTCTTGAATTTGACACCAAGAACAAAGGCAACAAAAGCACAAATAAACAAGTGGGATTACATTACATTAACTAAAAAGCTCCACACAACAAAAACAACCCTCAACAAAATGAAAAAGGCAACCAACTCAATGGATGAAAATATTTGAAATCATGTATCTGATAAGGGACTAATATGCAAAATATATAAAGAACTCATACAACTCAATAATACCAAAAAAATCTGATTAAAAATCAGATTAAAAATCTGAGAATCCCTACATGGTGTACCCAGTGGTTAGAGCACCGATCATGCAACAAAGGGTCATGGGTTCGATTCCTGGTAAAGGGCATGTACCTGGGTTGCAAGTTCAATCCCTGTCTTTGATCAGAGCACATGTGGGAGGTAACCAATCGATGTCTCTCTCTCACATCTCTCTCTCCCTTCTTATTCCTTCCTCCCTGCTTCCCTTCTTCCCTTCTTCCCTTCCACTCTCTCTAAAAAATCATTGGAAAAAATATCCTCAGGTGAGGGTTAAAAACAACAAAAAAAGACAGAGGATCTGAATATTATTCAAAAGAAGATGTAGTTGTCCATTGTGTACATAAAAAGGTGCTCAACGTCACTAATAATCAGGGAAATGCAAATTAAAACCACAATGAGGTATCACCTCACACCTGTCAGAACAGATATTATCAAAATGACAAGAAATAAGTGTTGGTGAAGATGTGGAGAAAAGCGAAC